TTTTAATTCAAAATATATAAATGTGTGTAACAAACAGCTGTATAAAATACATGTATGAATAAATAATACACCTACATTTACAAGATATTTTTTAAAATTAATATTACATCCAATGGTATAGTACGCTATATTACACTACGTTACATATTATACAGTACATTATACTAGATTACATGTTACATATTATACATTACGCTTATACGTTACAGTACCCAGTAATGTCCCCATGGCAAAGTGTCGGTTGAATCAGGCACGATGTATCGTTTATCATCGTGCGGACTCAGGGCGATTTTTGTCTCGGATACGGTGTAGACTTGATGTAGCTTCGATCGTATGCACGACTGGCGACGAGTCATCTCGATCTCGTCTCTCAAGCATCGCGTGTAATCGTCAAAAGTTATTGTTCGCGCTACCACGTTGCTTTTAACCCCCTTCGCCCTTTTCGCGTCGTTTTTACCGTCTACTCTCAAAGCATACATTTTCGCCCTGAGTCCGACGAATTCGGTCATAATTGCCCCATTATTCTCATCTTTCATGAGACCGGGGACTTTCTTATTTGCATGCGGTATACCATACGCGTTGTCATCTGGATAATCGCTCGTGTCGAATCTGCGTATATCGCGTTTCACAGTCTCGTATACATCCTCGCACTCGACGTGGTATATGAGACTGTCCGTATCGGTGTACATAATTTTACACTTGTCTCTGTACAGGGGTAGCATATATTCATGGTGAAATTCATACAAGCAGATCTTGGATATGTCGAGGATGCACATACCCACGTAGATCGGCTTGTTGAATTTTACCTCGAGTTTTCGCAACTCTACGACAATTAAGTTTTCGGAAAAAATGCTGCGACTATGAAAATTCGGTTTGGAGATCATCGCCTCGGCACCGTAGCGACCGTCCCATTTAGTTATAAGTTTAACGTCGACGTGATTCCGCACGTTTTCCATTGTTTTACCGAATACCGCGTTGTTCATTAATTTGTACAAATTTTTTTCGAAATCGTTTGTCGCGCATGTTCTAAACTGAGTATTAAGCTCGATATATGTATTTGCGAAGCCATGGAGATTGTGAAAACTCCAATATACGATGTATCTTTATGACGCGCAGGCCGTGACGCGTGCACTGCTGCAGGTTACGGTAGTGTATGATGTAACGCTTCTTATCATACACTGTCGCGAGAAGTTTGTTCTGCCGCTTGCCGGGTGGCTTATCACGCGTTGGACAAAACGGTAGATCGGCGTGCGCGTCGTGAAGATGCTGTGGATACTCGAGATCGACTTCGAGAATGTACCCCGTGAGTGCATCCGGAGCGATCGCGTTTGCATTAAAATCAGCAACGTTAGTGACCCATTGAAAATTCGCGTAAGGCAGCAGCTGACACATTGCCCACCCGTACAGATTATTTACGTCAAAGTACATCAGGTACGAGGAAGGTTTCGCGGGATCGTAAGACTGCATGTACTTGTTATTGGCTCGAGCATATCTACCGGAACATTGACTGATTGTGAGACCACCGCGTATGCCGCATTCCACAAACATAACCATGTCAATGTCAGTGAGCAGTTCGAAATTTATACGCGTATGTTTCATCATGGCATCCCACGTGAAACCTGGTAAAGTATAATAATGCGCATGATCTAACCCATAACTTTTAATGCTACTATTGCGGAAATTTTCAAAAATGTCAGCCAATAACAAGACATCGGTTTTCAAATATAAATCACTGTAATCTCCCAGAGTTTCGATGGAGAATCGTTGCCATACATTCAAAGCATGTGCGTAATCGCTCTCGGATACGGTGTCACCGGTCAAAGAACTAAAAAATGAATCGCGCGGTGGTATGCATAGGTCCTGCAGCTTGTCTGCACAATCTATATACTCATATGGAAATACACCTTTGCGCGTCAATAAATTGAAATCGTCGCTGGATAATGTCGAAAATTCGGATCGTGTAATTTTTAATTTATCTGTATTGAGAAACGATGCCAATCTATTGAAACTGGTACTCAGAAATTTATACGAGTCAATGAATCGCAGCTTTATACAATTTTGCCGCTTGGAGTTTATCGCAGCATTTTTAACATCTTTTGTAAAGGAAATGTACGTTTCCTTCGTTATCGGCAATACATTAACCGTGCCCTTTTTTTTTGTTTACGCAGGGGAATCCTTTATGGATACCCGGGTCCCGGGGAGGTCCTCGTAAGGTACGCCTCCCCCGGGGGTGGGACCCAGGTTATGTGGGACTGCCCTCCTAATGTCGATCGGAGTGCACCCGGCAGGCATGCCGGGTGCGTGGCGTACCCACTAAACCCCTGCGGCGGTCTGCGCTGTGCTTTAAATTGGGGGGCGGCCAGGGTTGGACATAGTCATATCATCTGTATACCGCCCCCCGCACGCGGCCCGCCGTTGTCGTTGGCGGGCCTCAGCGCTTCCCCCCCCTCCTAGGAGGGGGGGGGGCCCCGTCCCTCATCTCGCAAGAGATGAGCGACGGGGGGCCCCCTTCTCTGATGGGATGCAGGGACCGCACCTGCATCCCAACCTTCCCCGTGGGTTGTGATACGAGGGGGGAGCGTCCCCAACGCTCCACCCTCCAACCCACAGAGGTCCCCCCCGGACGGCAGACGCGGAGGATGCCACCATGCATTCCTCCGCCGCCATCCAGGGGGGTCCGCCACCTCGCCACCGGATTACACCCCGGTGGCAGGTGTGGGGGAGTGGGAGGGACGGAAGGGGCGGGAGTGCAAAGCGCGCACTCGACCAACTCCCCCATACCCTCCCTCCCCCCCAGCGGGCAGATCACGCCCGCAGTTGGGGGGAGGAGAGGACGACGTGTCCGTCTCCTCACCCCCAGATACCGACCTTCTCCAAGGGGGTCTGCCGGGGGGGAGTGTTGGGTCGCCCCTCACCCCCCGTTGCTTCCGCCGGGTGCCCCTCTGCACCCTCTCTCCCCCAGGGTGTGCCGGGAGGGGGCCCCCAGGTCCGAACAAAGCGGACAATTAGGGACCCTCCCCCGGCACTCCCCCGCCGAGTGCCTCTCCTGACCGCAGCGGTAGCATCTACCGCTGCGGTCTCGCTCCGCGGTGCATCCCGACCGAATGTGCCCCACGGCCAGGCACCTGTAGCACCGCAGAGGGCCGGGTCGCACCGCGAGTTGAACTCTCGCCCACGCGAACCCAACCCTCAACGCCCCAACGCGCGCAATAGCGCGTGCCGACCTCACAGGGCATCGCACCGTCGCAATGCCCCCCCGCCGAGTGGAGGAGAGAGGGCGCACGATGTCGCTTACACTCACCTCCTCCACCCGGCAGCCCCCCTCTCGGGCAATGGCCTGCCTGGCCAAGTCCGCCGAGGCCGATTCGTCCAGCCCGGTTACCCGCAGTGACGCGAGCTTCCCGGGCCGGGCGACTCGGACCCCCATCTCCTCCAAGGCCTCCCGGAGCTTGCAGGCCAAGACGTCTGCCTTGGCCTGCCTGTCCGCCCCGGGGATCTCCAACAGGAGGCCCCCGTTCGCGGCCCCGCGGCACGTCATGCCGCCGATCCCCAGGCCTTCCAAGGGAACCTTTTCCCTCGCGGCCCGGAGAACGGCGGCGTACGTTGCCCCCCCTACCGTTCCTTCGGGAACCAGGAGCGACACGGCCGCGGTGGCCGGCGCGCGGGGGAGAGCACGCCGACAGGCGTTTCCTCGCCCGTTGCGCCCCCCCGCCACGCCAGCCCCCGCCCGCCCCCCGCTCCCGCCTTTCTTCCCCTTGCGGGGCTGCACGGGGGGGGAGTGGAGCAGGAGCTAGACTCCCCGCCCCCCTCCCTCCCCCCGCTGTCATCCTCCCGCTGCTTGGCGGTCTCCTCTATAGAGGGGACCCCCTGCAGAAGCCTAACTCTTCTGTCGGCGGCCTCCTCGGCCAACCGCACGACCTCCTCCCTGAGGCCACTCGGCCACGCCAGGGAGGGGACCGCCGACTTCTCCTCCCTGCGCAGGGGGGTGTATCCCCCACTCCCCCCCCCCACCGTCCGGCAGGCCTGCTCTCCTACCATTCTCACGGGAGAGGTCGCCCTCTCCCGCCTCTCTCGCGGAGGGGGGGTCTGTGTGGACACCCCCCCGCAACCATCTCTGTCCTCGCAGGAGAGGTCGCCCTCCCCCGCGTCACTCGCGGAGGGGGGTCTGTGTTGACACCCCCACCCCTGCCAGGTCTATCACCGTCCTCGCGGGGGAGGTCGCTCTCTCCCGCGTCTTCGGAGAAACCTGGACCCACGCAGCGCCTCCCCGGTTTGGACATCTGAGTCCATCTATCCCACATTTCCGGGGAGGTGGGCCTCTCCTCCTCCGACTTTCTCCGCAAGTCGGAGCACTCCTCCTCAACTGCGGTCAGAGCCTCGCGCAGCTCGGAGTTTTCCCTCTCCTGGGCCTCCAGCTTCTCTGCGAGTTCCCGCCGATCGTCCCACAAGAGATAGACGACCACCATCGCCTTCTCCATATCTCTTGTGAGACGATCTTTCTCCTTCTTCGGGACCTTAATATTCAGCCCCTGCTCGCTTATGGCCGCCTCATAATAGCAGCAGTGCTTCGTCATATCCTGAAGGGCCGACTCCGCCCTCTCATCGGCGGTCTTCCCCTCTAACGCCCCGAAGGCCCAGCGAAGGCTGTCAAAGTCCTCGGCCTTCCACGCGTAGCGCAGATGGGCCGTGGACATATAGTCCAGCCACGCACTCCCACCGGGCTCCCCAGACTCAATTGAGCCCTCCAGCGAGTAGGCAGATCCCTCCACCTCCTCCTCCTCCTGGGCCGCGGTGTTCGCGTACGGCTCCTCCTCCTCTTCCTCGGCCGCAGCCTCCTCCGCAGCTCGTTTCGCCGCTCTCTCCCTCATCTCCCGCCTCTTCCGCGTCCTGCGGCTGGCGGAAGACTCGAGAGCGAAGTCGGCGCCCTCGTCCTCGAGGGTTTCCCCCCCCCCATTCCCCGGGTTTTTGAAAGGAAAGCCATTTCAAAATTATCCCCACGGCCC